GTGCCTGTAGATTTGTATTTGATTCATCTTATTAAGTTATATTCAGTGCTTAACATGTTTGGTCATTTTAGTATTACTACTCAAAAAATAAATAAACAAACAAATAGGCTAAAGAAATAAAATAAAGAAATGAATATAAAGAAATTTGAGCAAAGATTAAACATGATCATGAGATTTTGAATTACAGCAAATGCTTCAATGAAATAAAGGGAATTTTCATGTCAAGTGTTCTGTGACTTCTGTCAACACTGGAGTAAAAGGCACAAATTGATAAACATAATGAAGGATGTCCCATTATGCACACCATAGTTGATAAGAGTGTACCTGAGTGTAACCCTGGTGTGATAATGATCCCCTTATTTGAAATGTTTACATCACTGTGTCTTTCCTCAAAATGGTGGACATTCAAGTGCACTCATGCTGCTGTCACATCATAGCCTAATGGTCACAGGACTTTCCCCACCATTCCTAGTGATGAGTCCTTCATTTTGAAGGAATCTTTGGTTTCAGGAGACCCGAGTGAGTATGTTTTCTTTTTTTTATATCAGTAACAACACAATACACAGACGGCCATATCATACAAGAACCGGATTAAAACAGCCTGCAATTGATCCTAAAATTCAATCAATTCATTAGTTGAGTCAGTAGATCTCAAAACTTTAATATTCATTTCTGAAAGTGAAAAAAGAGATAACCGTTGTATGCACTGTTAACAGTTTAGTACTGGCTTTGAATATTAACTTTTAGTTTTTTTGGTTGGTTTTGTTTTTCGTTTTGTTTATGATAAGATTTTATGCACTCTCAGAAAAATAGGTGCAAAAGCTGTCACTGGGCCGGTAGGCTACCTTTTGGAAATAATATATTTTAACTCAATTTCCTCTATAAGGTGCACATTAGTAAATTAAAGGTACATAATAATACCTCAAGTGAATATGTTAGTATTTTTAATGGTAGCCTACATATTTGTACTTCTCTTTTTTTGCACCGGTTTTTGTACCTTTTTCCCCTAAGAGTGTGCGGCTGTCACGTGACGTGAATCATTTCTCTTTTCTGTATGGAGCCAACATGCGCCTGCCACATGACAACCGCAGGAAGGGCCAAGTCGAGTGGTGAACTAATGGTTTCTGTTTCTCATAGTTTATCTATTAAGGCTGTATTATTACAATTTCATAGTTCGTATCATGTGATCCAAGTTTGCACAAATGGGCATGTATGACCGTTATCAGGGGCGGATTTAGTTATTTGGGGGCCACAGGCAAAATACAGGGCCCAGGGCCCTATACAATTTCACACGTTTACAACCTTGAGGTTCCTTTCACTGCTGTTCGCTGCTGCACGACCGTGTCCCATAGTTGTGACCAATCTTTTAGATTTTTCATGTACATGTTATAAATAAAGGATTTCCTTTAATGTTGTAAATCCTTTGTTCACATTTAAACAGGTTATAATAGTATTAGAGTAGGTTGGACACTAGGTGGTGCGTTGGGGTAATTTCCACTAAGCAATTGTCTACACAACGCAAGTTTAATTCTAAACTTTAAAATATCATTTTTTAAAATATATTTATTTTAAGTGCACATTTAAATTAAACTGAAGGAAATTATTAATTTACATGCTTAAGGATTATTTCAACCAAACATGAAGTGTGCCTGTGTGTAAAACAAAATTAAAATAGGCCCTATATAATATGCACTGTTGTAATAATAATAAAAGTATTGCTTCAGATGCATTATATATGTAGGGCCCTATGAAATCGGTTTTATTTTTCCCAAATTAGCCTAAGTTTTATTCTTTCCAAAATATTTTTTTCCGTTTTAATTTTTCTGGATTCAGTTTTATTTTTTATTTTTTTTTATTTTTTTTTCTGGATTCAGTTTTTTTCTTCTTTTCGTTTTAATTTTTCTGGATGATTATACTAAATTTGAACAAAAAACATGTCTAATTAATTAAAATCACAAAACTTGTTTAATTTAACAGCAATTTAGGCCTATTAAAAGTTTTAAAATGTTATGGGATTTGTAAAATTTTTAATTTTTCTGTATTCCATTTTAATGTTTTAATCAAAAACATATCTAATTAATTGAATTCATAAAAACAACTTAATTTATTAATTTGTATACAATAATAGGGCCCTATGAACTTGTAATTTTATTTACTTGTTGTTTTAGAAATTCTGTGTTGTGTATTTTCATTTTTCTGGTAATCAAATGAAGGCAAAAACCTTAATCTATCTTTTATTCCAATGAAGATTAAACAAACCCTTTAATTTTTGTACATTCAAAATGCTACACAACAGAAGTTTACTGTGTAACGAGCAATGTCACGGAATTCATCAAATATTGAATGAATAAATCAAATGCAATTCAGTACACTTCAATCAAACCGCGATATGGACTAGTGTTTGTGAATATTAAATGGAAAAAAATACTATTTAGCTACTACAGACGACAACCGCAAGCATTGCGCGTGCTTAAATAGCAAACGAAACGCGCGTCTGCGCCGTTCATTCCGTTACATTCCGCGTTACACAGTAAATTCCGTTTTTATGAATAAACTCCGGGATTCCGTCCCCATTTTCTACATCGCCCTACTTTTGCTAAGAAGCATGTTCAACGCGGACGCACAGACGGTTGTCGTGATCACCACAGCAACCACTTGCGAGTCCGCACTGAACGCGCATCTCGCATATAAAAAGCATTTTAGGGGGCCCTTGGCTTTTGGGGGCCCAAGGCGGTCGCCTAGCTTTGCCTAATGGTTAAGTCCGCCTCTGACCGTTATGGTTGTTTCTTCCATTTCAGGGACTTCTCTGACGTATATAATTTTGTTTAGATAGTAGATCAAATCTACACACAAAATGCATTTCAAAACTCAGATGGGTCATATAGGCTAACTGCATCTTCGGCTTCACTTGAGGACTTGTGACTGTAAAAGACATCCATGTAAATAGTTTTCACCACTGGAGGACGCCAGGGTCAGCAATATGCAAAATCAAGTACGTTTAAGACCTTGCATGAAAGTGCATTTGGAGGACTCTGCTTTTTAGCGCCATGTGCATTCAGGAACTGAGAATCTATAAAAACATTATCATTTTTTAAGACTTACATTACCCACAACATTTATCAACTTTTTTTAGTAAATGTTAAGAAAAGTAGTGTACTTTTTTTAATAAACGTTTTTATTCGTATAGTGATTGCAATAAAGTTATGCTACAGAAAGTATATATATTACATAATTTCCAAATTATACGCTTTTTTCACATTTTTGAATTACGCATTATAAGTGTAAAATAAACCATGTACAGCATTAATAAATATAAATAAAATATTAATATTAATAAAGTGTAATAAAATAAGTCGTTGCTGGCTTCGGTTTTAAAACATTTCAATCTTCCTAAGAATTGTTAGTCATCAACACGAACGCAGTTTCACTTCAGCAGGTGTGAGCAAAAAGAGGAAGAAAGAGAGACCTGACTACATAGACGCTCTCGATTAGATCTAATTTGGACATTCTGAAATTCCTTCGAGAGAACTCAGTGTCAAATGAAACACTCGCCCGGCATATTTGCATATATTAGCAAAGCAACATTTCTTAGACATCAAAATGATTGTGAAGTTTTTTTGCAACACGCCGAATTCTCAGTTTCAAGGAGCATAATTTTGGGATCGACCACAAAATGTAATTAAAATGAATCTTTAGTGTATTAATGAGCATGCTACATATTGAGAGGATGTTGTTACATTTGTATCAGATCACAGAATAAACAGTGTTTGTAAAATGGGCATTTTACAGCAGGACAATTTGTTTTGAATTCTTTGCAGCTCATCATGCTTGTTAGAAACTGCACATGGGTTGTTCAGTTTATTACTGTTTGGCTATTATTAAGAAAAAAAATCCTTGAGTGCTAGACAGTTTGCAGCTGCTGAATGTGAGATGTTCATCTGCACTGGTGGATCCCCAGAGATGAAATATTTAAATACAACACCCGAAAACCGAGAGAGAAACACACAGTAAAATGTGATGTGAAACACATTGCAATGCACATTTGCATGACCCAAAATTCCAGCTTTTCTAGGAATTTGTGTGCAGTTTAAATCAGTCTTAAAAGAACACAAAAAATAATTGTAAAAATTGAGATTTTTCAGATTTGTTTGAGATATGACTCTCTTCAGAATATTCCAATGGTGTTCAAAAGCTTTACTTTACTCTCTGTATTATGTAGCAGTTCATCAGAAATCTACAGATGTTTTTGCCCTCATACTTTTAGATAAGCAGCACACACATCAATATTGAAGTCATGGCTGTATTTTGTTAGATAATATTCTCACATTTTAGTATGTCCTGAGGGATCTCTGCTAATATCACAGTAATATCTACTGAAAATGTAAGATAATGTCATTTGTAGTAAGAGGCTGATATAATATTCAAAAAAGTAAAATCTCATTTTGACAGAGATATAATAAGACTTTATTGATATGTGTACTAGGTATATTATTACATTTATGGTATGCTTATCAAGTAACTTACTTTTTTCATCTGACATACTAATAATACAAGTGCACCTAAAAAATATCACACATACCATCTTTTATTGATTGAAAAGGCCAATAATTCCTTGTGATTTTGATGGTTATCTTTAGAATTGAAGAAGTGGCTTTACTAGAGACAGACACAAAAAAAATGTCTAAATACTGAAGAAAAAAAAACGGGAGCAGAAAGTGAAGCACACCAAGTTTCTGATTAGAAAAACGATGTGAGAGCTGGACTAAATCATGCAAACAAATATTTATTGCTTGTAAAACAACACAAAAATGGCATGTTATATTATAGGCTAACAGCAGTACAGTAAGCAGGAACAAAACATAAAGAAGCTCTATGATATTGTTCCGACAATGTTTTATGTTTTCATGTGACCATATTTACTTACATGTAACATATAAGTAAATATCAAATTAAACATATAGTCTTGAGTGTAATTTGACTTTGATGTTTGACTTATGCAGTAAAGTGATACAGACATACAGACAGAAATATGCACAAAAAACATCAAAGATACTGTACATAATCTGACGAGACAGCAACAGGACAAAAGCACTGGAACACTGAACAACAGATGAACAATGATAGTTTGGAAATGCTTGCACATTAATCACATGAATGTTCTGGCTGTTTACTTTGGCTTGTTGAAACTTCTAATGGAACACTTCTTTTGTCCATGTTGGCATGTTTGACTGCGCAGCTGATGGTGGTGCTGAGCTTTTTATACTCTTCTTTTGTCATTGTTAGGATGCTGAGAACAGACGTGGAGTGCTTTTGATGGATGGGAGCACTGGTTGTGCCCTCTCTGTAAGGCTGTTTACCCACTCTCCACATGATATAGACATCGCTGAGTTTAGGACTGGTGACCTCACACACCAGAGAGACATGATCTGTGTCGTAATTATCGGGTTTATAAATGGTAACATTTGGTTTCTTTTCATCTGAATTGGAGGACGTAATAAAGGTTCATTGAACAAACAGAAAAATCACACTATAATGAATAACAATAGTGTATCAAGGCAGTTTAATCTTTTTGACAGAAATAATTTCAAATGTGCTTGAAGGCAATATTTTATCTTATTTTATTTTTTTTGCCAGGCAATTAAGTTATAAGCATCTATCATAAATGCACATACAGCCACAAAGTTGATTATTTAAAAGTATTAGACTGACTTACCTCCTTTTTGAAAATGGATCGTCTGCTTGACGTCTCTGTTATTTATGTCACTGATGATGCAGGTGACCATCAAACCATCAAACCATTTCTTTGTACTAACGGTGACATAGTGAATTCTTATAAATTGTGAAGTGTCAAATTCAACATTTCCTTTTGTGATATTCTCATTGGGCACAGGTTCTTCCGTCACTTTACATGATACTGAAGTGTCTTCCACTGTATTTCTTACATCTCCAGAAACAACAGCTTGCAAGACAATTTTATCATTAACAAAAAGTTCTTTCTGAATTGGTGGCTTCACTGTCAGTGACAATTTAGCTACAAGAGAGAAAGAAAGTAAATATTACTTAATGTGTAAATTTGGTGTCATCTGTGATATAAATATCTAATATGTGTATATCTGTGAATTGGGATCAGTTTGAAGGAGTGTATCTTTGTGTGAATTTGAAATAGAAGTTAAAGTGTGAACTAGAGAGAGCAAATCAACATTAGATGACTTACTTTTGAAGTTTGCCTTCGTATGAAACGGTTTTCCCTGGTGTGTGACCTCACAGGTATACTGAGTATTCACATCCCAATTCTCACTGCTGACTCCATAAAAACTGTATCCTTTATAATAACCCTGCGCATTAAGTTTACTTTCCAGTTTTAGCTGGCTCATGCTGTTTGTATCATTTATTTTCCATTGTACCATGAGATTGTCTTGGGGGTAGAAATCTTCAATAATACACATGACAGATTGACTTTTTAGGGTTGTTACAGGAACCAAGCTCAGGGTTGGATTTCTTGGACTCCCTGCAATTAAAATAATGATTACATCCAGTTAAACTGTGGAGGACATCCAATACTTTGCAAACTTATGTACACATATGTAGGGTGATCTGGCGGTGGAGCTAGCAACATACAGGTGAAAGCAGATAGGTCATGAAAAGCAAAAAATAAAAAATAAAACGGTGCAACATGCCTTTTTAAGCAAGCAAATAAAATGCTCTTGTAGTTGAGTTTGAACTGCAATGTTAAATGTTGCATATTTATATGTAAATAGTTTTTTTTTTCTATTTTGGTTTATACAGTGGGGTGGGGGGTGACTCATATGTCATTGCATTCCCTGACATAGGCTCAGAAATGAAGTATTTCCGAATTCAACAGCATATAGAATAGAAAGACACATGAAGTAAACTAATGTAAAATGTAAAAAAAAAAATTTGAAATGTAACTTACGTGGAGCAACAGGGGATTGTTTTGTGCCTTCAGAATTTGAAGCTTCGCATTTGTACGGTTTCTTAGGATCCCAATCGCTTTTTTTATGCGCAGAGAGCTGATTTTGGTATAGTCTCCATCCGGTCCGAATGCTGGATACTGCACGAAATCACTCAAATCCTTCGTAGTAGAATCCGTCCATTTAAATGTAAGCGAGTCCACAGGTGAGAAACCTCTTACCAAGCAGCCGATGGTGAGGAACCCATCAGAATCAGAAGTACACTGGGACATGGGGAAGATTGACTTTGGCGCAGAAGGTTGAGCTGTAGAGACAACGCATCGTTCTCAGACAATATAGAACCTGTATAACGTATATATGCAACACTTTTAGGCCTATTAGAGAGCTAGACTATGTCTCAAATGAATGACTGAATGGATGAATTAATGAATAATATAAAAATATAACCAAATTAAACTAAAATGAAATAAATGATAAATTAACATATAATAAAATAAAACAGTATGATTGAGTTTAACTGCTTTTACACGAGAAGACACCGCGGAGTATCTTCACTTTGCGTCAATGTCCCGATTATCCTACTTTGCAGGAATGATCATCTTAGTATGTTATGCCGCACACAAGCTATTTAACAAATAAATTAACGTATGCTACTACATGGATATTAAATATTGATTTGAAATTGTGGAGACCGAAGAGAACACGCTCAGCTATTTTGAAACAGGTCAGCCCTGGAAAGCCTAACTGTTATTTATTAGACGCTGATTGACCAATTAGAATAAAGTATTTCGATGAGCCGCATAATAAAACACACGAACTAGGTAAAACATTTCTTTCTCTTGGATGCTGTAATAAATAAAGTGTTATCTAAACTAATTTATCACTGGAATTTTTGACTGCAGAATTACTTTTCAGTATGTTTTAAATGAATCACTTCACATAACCTATGAAATATAAGTTAAAACAAACAAATAAAATGAAAACAATGACAACCTTTTGAGAATTTGAAATAAGAGCACTATATAGCAATTTGTAACCATGGAATCATGCGAAAAAGTGATAATTAAATCGATTAATTGCAAATATTTATTAAATAACCTATAGGCTGGTTGTTTATCGACCAAAGACCTACGCTGTTGTTTTATTCATTTATTTACTTTATTCATTATTTAAAACAGCTTAATTATATTTTAATAACACGGGATGCAATCTATTATTAACAAATACAACACTTAGGCCTAATGGCTGTATCAGTGTAGAAAAACGCACGAGACATGATGCAGTCATTTGTCTTATATGTTTCGTTTGAAGCAAGTCGTTTAACAATAACTATTATTATTTAATTTTTTTAATGTTTTATTTTTTAGCAGCTATACAACGAAACAATATTATAAAATTATGTAGTCTTTTACATTTTCTAATGAAATAACCAAATAACCATTCATTTGACAGCAATTAATATATTAAATTTTGTCTTATTTTACGATAACTGTCCTTGCCATTAATAATAAAATCTTACTGTTTGTTACGGTGACTTTGGTGCCGCTTCCCCAGTAGTCGAAAGCCCAGTTACACAATATTATTTTAATGTTACAGAGCAGTATAAAAATGCAACTCAAAAATGCTCAGGATCTGTTAAATGGCTTGTAGCTGAACTAATTCGTTGTTTTATCTGAATGCGTGTAAGCTACACATCAAAATATGTACAATTTAATTATTCATAATTAATGTGAATCTTTGCGTTTCCAGCAAAACTCTAAAGACATGTCCAGACTTTAATTGTCCGAATCGTAGAGTAAATAGCCATTTAAACGTTGCTTAAATATAAAAACAACTTTTTGACAAATTAGCCTACCTGCCACAATTTTTCGCACTTAGATCAGATTTTGTTTTAGTAAGTTTTTCTTACCTGAGGAAACAGTGACCATGGTTCCTTTCCCCCAGTACTCAAAAGCATGGTCACACTGACAGTTTTACCCATGGATATTATACAAAAATAGTGCGCTCGTATGACAAGTCACTTTTATTTATTATAAGCCACAAATTCGACTGTTTATCCTTTTAATTCAGTCTAAGTTTCATTCTTGCAAAACGGACAAGCGGTCTGTACATTTAGTTTTCCTATTATTTTTTAAAACACATGTCAACGCTTATGAAATATTTAAATTGTAGTTCCCCTTCAGGAACTCGAGCTGCGTCGAGTCGCTT